CCTCTGTTACTGTGTCACTATACCCCACTCCCTCTAACATGTAAACTCACTGAGCAGGCCCTCAATCCTCTGTTACTGTGTCACTATACCCCACTCCCTCTAACATGTAAACTCACTGAGCAGGGCCCTCAATCCCTCTGTTACTGTGTCACTATACCCCACTCCCACCAACATGTAAACTCACTGAGCAGGCCCTCAATCCCTCTGTTACTGTGTCACTATACCCCACCTCTAACATGTAAACTCACTGAGCAGGCCCTCAATAACTCTGTTACTGTCACTATAACCCACTCCCTCTAGCATGTAAACTCACTGAGCAGGCCCTCAATCCCTCTGTTACTGTGTCACTATACCCCACTCCCTCTAACATGTAAACTCACTGAGCAGGGCCCTCAATCCCTCTGTTACTGTGTCACTATACCCCACTCCCTCTAACATGTAAACTCACTGAGCAGGGCCCTCAATCCCTCTGTTACTGTGTCACTATACCCCACTCCCTCTAACATGTAAACTCACTGAGCAGGCCCTCAATCCCTCTGTTACTGTGGCCACTATACCCACCTCTAACATGTAAACTCACTGAGCAGGCCTCAATCCTCCTGTTACTGTGTGACTATACCCACCTCTAACATGTAAACTCACTGAGCAGGGCCCTCAATCCCTCTGTTACTGTGTCACTATACCCCACCTCCCTCTAACATGTAAACTCACTGAGCAGGCCCTCAACCTCTGTTACTGTCACTATACCCCACTCCCTCTAACATGTAACCTCACTGAGCAGGGCCCTCAATCCCTCTGTTACTGTGTCACTATACCCCACTCCCTCTAACATGTAAACTCACTGAGCAGGCCCTCAATCCCTCTGTTACTGTGTCACTATACCCCACTCCCTCTAACATGTAAACTCACTGAGCAGGCCCTCAATCCCTCTGTTACTGTGTCACTATACCCCCTCCCTCTAACATGTAAACTCACTGAGCAGGCCCTCAATCCCTCTGTTACTGTGTCACTATACCCCACTCCCTCTAACATGTAAACTCACTGAGCAGGGCCTCAATCCCTCTGTTACTGTGTCACTATACCCCACTCCCTCTAACATGTAAACTCACTGAGCGGGGCCTCAATCCCTCTGTTACTGTGTCACTATACCCCACTCCCTCTAACATGTAAACTCACTGAGCAGGGCCCTCAATGCTCTGTTACTGTCACTATACCCCACTCCCTCTAACATGTAAACTCACTGAGCAGGACCCTCAATCCCTCTGTTACTGTGTCACTATACCCCACTCCCTCTAACATGTAAACTCACTGAGCAAGCCCTCAATCCCTCGGTTACTTTGTCAGCTCCTCAGTTGAATCTTCACTGCAGCACTTGGATGACATTTTCAAGAGGTTTTGGCGGATACTCCTCGAGCGTGAGCAGGCCACCCTGGCTGAGCAGGAAATTGCTCCTGAGAACACTTAGCAGCACCCAAAAGGTAACAGGCCTCCTTCGGGCAAAGCACACAAGCAAGTGCATACTCCTTCATCTACTCGCCCACCCACTGCCTCCAAGCATCATGCGCCAAAGCGGAGGATCGCCCATCGAAAAAGGCGCACATCCTCAACTTACCCTGGTAGAAGAAAGTACTTGGTTCCAGCGAATACCGGAGTCTGCATAAAAGTGAAGCAGGTGCTCATCCAAGCCTGGGGCAGGAACAAAGCCCTGAATATCTACACCAATGCAGCTCACCTGAATGCTCAAGCACAGGCTCCACTCCTGCCACTAGTGGGAATCGGATGAACCAGATACGGGAGTCACAGCCTGAGCTCCACTCCCAGAATGGTGACTGCCGGTTTGTCTCATCTCTGACTGGGATTCAATCTCTAAAATATGCCACAAACCTGCCCTTGTGTAACTATATTATAAATGTTTTTTTTTTTTCCTTATACTCTTCCTCTCCTGCCAATAACACAAGGGGATGTTTATTGTTTATTGTTCTAATATCGGGGTGCCCCGGAGGCCAGTGGTCCAATAACTCCATCAGATAATCACCAATCCATGCCAGATATTATTTTTAGCTTGGTATAATCTCGCCTTTTTAATACTTTAACTCAATACCATAAGCATGTTTCAAATCTCTATCTCTATTAACTTCTCTATGAATTTACATGCATAGAATAGAAGCTTTCTCTCAATATATATCCTCTAGACATGTTCTGCCTAGCCTGTTTCTCATACCACTTTAAAAAAAAAATTGTGCAGTACAATCGAATGCCTTATAACTTACTTTGTTCAACTAATTGTCTTGGCACTGCTGTTGGGGCATTGCAAGAATGTTTGTTACTCTTATGCACACAAAATAAAGAATAAATAAAAAAAAAAACTACAAAAGTCATGCAAATATTGTCACCTCGGTTACCACAAAATCTCAAATGGAAACTCAAATTACAGCCTCGATTATTGGATTAGCTTTCCAAATTATTTATGATAATTTTGATATTTGTGGATAAACTTTTAAAAAAAGTTCCAATATATTAAAATATCTTTAATATATCATATATAAAAATATTTCATTGTATCAACAAATATCAAAATATTACAACATTTAATATTATTCTTAGTAGTAAGACATTTTAAAAGTGTATCCAAAGATATTAAATCAATGTACAGCAGTATTAAATCGAGGCGCCTATGGTCTCAATTTTAATAATTCACCATTAAAGTTTGTGGTAATGTGTGTAAGCAACTCGTTTGAACAGTTATACTAACAGATCATGTTCATTTGAAAAACATATCCAATGATATTAAATTGAGGTCTATTTAAAAAAAAAAAAACAACTCTGCTAGAGAACAATTATTTTATACCTTTCATTTATTAGAGGTCCCACATCCCACCTTCCCCAAATTGTATTTCATTTATTCCATGCAAAATAATGCAGAAGAAAGTGGCAAATGCAATATTCATTCATTTAATTTGACCTGTTTGTATCCCATTTTTGAAAGGTAACCCTCAAAACTAAAATGAAATTTCAAATGTTGTGGGTGGGTAGAAAAAAATATGAGAAAGTTAACAAAACAGGAAAATAAGCAAATAACTGCAGAGAATCTATTATATCCTTAATTGTTGATGGCAAACAGTTCATTTAAATTAGACCTAGTAAGAAGACGCCTGGAAACTATTGTCCATTTTACGTTTGTGTGCATATTCATCTTTCCCATTGTTTAGCAGTGAGAAACGTTGCTGTTGGCCTAAGCCCTTGTTAAAGAGGAAGAATGTCGAAATCTTTCACCGCGGTTTTCTGTTGCATTATGAGGTCGTACAGAATTTCTCCCACAGAAGGTAAAATTGGTGGTACTTAGGGAACTGAAACCACCAAATCTAACACAGACTATTATCTGCAGAGAAAAACAAAACAAAACATGAATTAGAAGTTTCTGTTATGAGATCACTGCCCTATATATTGATGCAACAAGTATCTGTGTTCAACATGTCACAGTTCCTCTTACATCTTACGTGAATCCTGATATCCACTAACTGGACTGGTAAGAAAAGATCAAATGTTTATCATTAAAAAAATACTTCCAAATAAATTATTCAATAATAATTCTTATTTAATTTTGGATAAACTTTTTTAAATTGTATGTGTGTGTGTGTGTATATATATATATATGAGAGAGAGAGAGGAAAACTCTCAAAAACTTGTCTTTTAAGTATATTAGTCCAATAAAAAAGGTAACTTTGTATACTGCAATACTGTGGGATTTTGTGGTGTCTACTGTACTAATACGGCTAAGCCAATCTACGCTCTATATATATATATATACAGCCATGGGCAAAGTACACCCTCTTTGAATTCTATGTTTTACGTATTAGGACATAATCTTCTGTTCATTAGCAGTTCTTAAATTGGGTATGCTTTTTTTAACAAAACTAAAGCCAAAATTGAGAAGGCATGTGTGGAAAAACCAAGTAAACCCTTACTGCTTCCATAGGAATTAAGAGGCTAAGTAGCAGACAGATGCTGCTAATTGGATGCCCTTGATCAATTGACCATCTCTATCAGGGCCACTTCAAGGATTTTTGAGTACATAAGCAAAGATGCATTTGTCCGCCCCACCCCCCTCTAAAAATAACATCTTCACCTATGTGTCTCTTAACCAGCCCCTCTCCCCTGCCCGTGCATTAGTGGTCCCCTCCCTTCCCTGTCTGTTAGTGTTCCTCTCCCGTCCCCCCTCTTTTCCCTGTCCCTTAGTGTTTCTCTCCCCTCTCCTCGCTGTCCCTTGGTGCACCCCCACCCCCTTAATGGACACACTCCGCTTCCTGGTGTGCCTCCTACCTCTCTTGTAGTGTTGTCGAGCAGAGCAGATCCTCTACAGGAGCTTCAGTTTTCTGTTCCCGGCTGGACTGACAGGAAGTGCTCCCTCAGTGAGCACCTCCTGTCAGTCTGGCCGGGCACAGGAAACAGAAGCTCCTGTACCGTGCTCTGCTCCGCTACACTCAGTGGTGTATACACACTAACAGTCACACACACTCAATGACAAACACACAGGCATCACTGACAGACACAGACTCACTGATCTGACACACACTCATTCATTGACAGACACACACAGACACAGACTCAATGACAAACATACTCTCACTGATTTGACAGACACTCACAAACACACACTGACAGACACACACATGCACACACATTTATACAATCACTCAGACACACACTCAGACACACAAACACACTAACAGACACACATACACTTACACACATAAATTATTAATAATTAATGTCCACCCAGCCTCCCTACCTGGAGAGCTGGCGTAGACCTGTCCCTGTGGTCCAGTGGGGATTCACTGCGGTGGGCGGCAGAGTTCCTGTCAGACGCGGCGAGGGAGCTCTAACCTGCTCTGCTCCCTCGCTGGCTGTCTACTGATAGCGTGAGCCAGAATATGATGTCATATTCCGACTCCCGCGGCATCAGTAAACGGCGCGTGAGGGAGCAGAGCACAGGGGTTAGAGCTCCCTCGCCGCCTCTGATTAGAACACTGATGCGCCGGGGATCCAGAAGGTGGCCTAGCAGGAGGGAGAGCTTCCCTCCTGCTGGTCACTGAAATCTTGCGCCCCCAGAGCCGGTGCACCCTAAGGCAGCTGACTGTGCCGCCTTATGGACGCTCCGGCCCTGATCTATATAGAAGGTGAAGTTTTAGCAGTTTTCTGGTCTGAAGCATTCAAGTGTGTATCAGCACAATGCCAAGGAGGAAAAACATCAGCAATGATCTTACAGAAGTAATTGTTGCTGCGAATCAAAATGAGAATGGTTATAAGGCCATTTCCAAACAATTTCAAGTGCATCATTCTACAATGAGAAAGATTATTCAAAAGTGGAAAACATTCCATTCAAGACAGTTGCCAACCATCCCAGGAGTGGACGTCCCGCTTTACAAGGTTTAAATGATCATCTGGGGCTGCCGTATCTCTCGTGCAGAGAGAACTTGCTGGCATTTCGGATATGGACTGCCCATACGGGTGGGACCAGGCTGATATACTTCAGATATGTTCAATCTGTAATGGCACTAGTTGAGCTAAAACCAGCTTGAGATCTGAGCACGCACCCACCCACCGAAGGGCAGGTCAATTGAGCTGTTGTCCATTCTCACCTCTCTCGCTACTTATTTTTCTCTCCCACTAACATTCACCACAAGGTCAGACTGTGCAATGCTCAGAGAAATTTCAAAAAACCCAAGAGTTACATTTCAGATTTTAGAGGCCTCAGTTAGCATGTTAAATGTAAAGGTTCATGGCAGTACAATTAGAAAAAGACTGAACAAGTATTGTTTGTTTGGAAGGGTTGCCAGGAGAAATCCTCTTCTCTTTAACCCCTTAAGGACCAAACCTCTGGAATAAAAGGAAATCATGACATGTCACACATGTCATGTGTCCTTAAGGGGTTAAAAAGAACATGGCAGCAAAGCTTGTACAAACCACAAGACGTCTAGAACAATGTCCTCTATACAGGTGAGACCATATGCACAGCGCTACATTTGTCAAAAATCAAGCAAACCAACTATCAAGCATGGTGGTGGAAGGGTAAGGGTGAGGATTTGGGCTTGGCTTGATTTGCCGCTACAGTTGCTGGGAACCTTGCAGTCATTGAGTTGACCAAAGTATCCTAGAGTCAAATGTGAGGTCATCTGTCTGCAAGTTAAAACTTGGCCAAAATTGAGACCTGAAACTAGACAAGTGAAATGCTGTTATGCAGAAAACTATTACTGCAAGTTACTGCTGCTAAACGTGGTTCTGCAAGATATTAAATCATAAGGTCAACTTGGTTTTTCACACATAGATTTGGGCTTTAGTTTTGTTAAATCGTAACCCGGTGTAATATGTTATGTGTTACTGTTCATCTGAGGTTGTATTTACCTAATTTTAAGTAACATATTAATTCAAAGCGGGTGTACTTTCTTTTTTCCCATGACTGTGTATAGAAAGAGGGTGTACTTTCTTTTTTCCATGACTGTGTATAGAAAGAGGGTGTACTTTCTTTTTCCCATGACTCTATATAAATGTAAAGTTCAGAGAGGGCCAAGGTATTGATTTTTAATACAACTGAAGAGGTGCAGGGTACTGTAGCCACTATAACCACTTTATCTCATTGAAGTAGTTATAGTTCCTCCATAGTTATTCACTAAAGTGCCAAGAATACAAAGTGAATTCAAAGTGGATTTTGAAATTTAGGCCAAAATAGCTATTTTAGACAAATTCTGCTAGTCATTATTATTAACAGTTTGACTATTTTGTCTATAAATATATAAAAGACTAATAAATGCATATAAATACTTGGGCAGATGTTACAATACACATATTACTTTACTATCATCAGATATTTTCACTCACCGAGTAGATGCAAATCCCAATAAGTGCACAAATGGAAATGGTGATCATACAGATTAGTGCTATCCCCCACCCTGGGACTCCACCTGCAACAAAAAATACACAAATGTTATCTGTCGCACTGATAGGCAAGGTGACACACGGAGGGCAAAGCCAGAACAATATCTACAGGGTCGTTTACTAAGGTTCAAACTCAGTGATTTCAAGCTGAATTTAAAGGCAGAAGTAGCAAATGTGGAAGTTTTCCAATGAATTTATTTTGGTCTAACATTTGAATTCTCACTAAATTGAATAACTCTGATGGTCTGCCTGTTTGTCTTTTACTGAGTTTATTTATCTGCCTGTGTCTTCTTGTTTCTGCCTGTCTTTCTCTCAGAGGCATTACAAGGTTGCTTGAACCCCCGGGTGGGAATGTTTGTTGGCACACCCTCCCCGCAAACTGTAGAATATCTATTTATTTATTTATTGTCCAATTCTTGCCTTCCCTAACTACATACATTGTATTATGTACACTCGCGCATATATACACTAAATCACATTCCCATACATACACACTCCTCTCATTCACACACTCACACAATGATACTTTTGAAATCATCGTCTTACTGTCTACCTATTTTTCTCTGTAACTTTCTCTTACCCTGTGTCTGTCCATTACTCTGTATATTTGTCGTTCTGTCTGTCTATCCACCTTTATATCAATTTTCTGTCAATCTGTCTGTCTCTCTCTATTGTCCACGTGTATTCATGTCATTCTGTCAATCTGCCCTGTTTACTTCTTTTTTCTGGTACCAGTCACCATAACAAAATAAAATACTTCACAAACTAAAGTGTAGTAAAAATAAAGATTTACTGAAAGTTAAAATGGATATAAAATGATATAATTAAATAAACTGAATATATTGAAAACCCTCTATGAAACGAAACTAAAAAAGGTAAAATATCTCAGGCTACAATCAAATCCTCCTTCAGTGAAGGGAATCTGATAAATAGACATCCAAACAAACAATGCTTATGGGGGCATCAAAGAAAGATTCTGATGCTGGGATTGAGATTGGTTGTTATATACTAGGAGATTGGCTGTTATATACTAGGAGTCGGAGATTGGATGTTATATACTAGGAGATTGGATGTTATATACTGGGAGATTGGCTGTTATATACTGGGAGATTGGATGTTATATACTAGGAGATTGGCTGTTATACACTAGGAGATTGGTTGTTATATACTTGGAGACTGGCTGTTATATACTAGGAGATTGGCTGTTATATACTTGGAGACTGGCTGTTATATACTAGGAGATTGGATGTTATATACTAGGAGATTGGTTGTTATATACTAGGAGATTGGATGTTATATACTAGGAGATTGGTTGTTATATACTAGGAGATTGGATGTTATACACTAGGAGATTGGTTGTTATATACTAGGAGATTGGCTGTTATACACTAGGAGATTGGATGTTATATACTAGGAGATTGGCTGTTATACACTAGGAGATTGGTTGTTATATACTAGGAGATTGGCTGTTATATACTAGGAGACTGGCTGTTATACACTAGGAGATTGGTTGTTATACACTAGGAGATTGGCTGTTATATACTAGGAGACTGGATGTTATATACTAGGAGATTGGCTGTTATATACTAGGAGATTGGCTGTTATACACTAGGAGATTGGCTGTTATATACTTGGAGATTGGATGTTATATACTAGGAGACTGGCTGTTATACACTAGGAGATTGGTTGTTATACACTAGGAGATTGGTTGTTACACACTAGGAGATTGGATGTTATACACTAGGAGATTGGCTGTTATATACTAGGAGATTGGATGTTATACACTAGGAGATTGGCTGTTATATACTAGGAGATTGGCTGTTATACACTAGGAGATTGGTTGTTATATACTAGGAGATTGGCTGTTATATACTAGGAGACTGGCTGTTATACACTAGGAGATTGGTTGTTATACACTAGGAGATTGGTTGTTACACACTAGGAGATTGGTTGTTATAAACTTGAAGATTTTCAGCGATTTTATTTTCTTATGTAATTCATCCAGATTTGTTATGGACCAGAAAAGGTAGATTTGAAGCTCTGTACTTTTCATTACTATTAATTCATTTATTAAACTGAGGATTGCAGTAACCGGAGTTATTTTACAAATTGTTCACAATTCTTTAGTTTATTTTATAAGCCACTTGATTTTATGCAGGACCCATGCGACAGGCGTTATCGAAGCTCTTGGATTCTATAAATGCTTTTCTTATTTTACAGTTAATCAAGGGAAATATAAAAATGTTCTGCATTTAACATATTTTCATAGTGAAAGTGTCTTAACCGTTTAACAGTCATTTCAATGAATCTTTGATTAATGACATTCTTACCAGATTGGCCAGAACCACTTTCTGTTGCTGGTACTGCAGTAGTTTTAGTTCTTGTAGAAGTTGTAGATACTGTAGTAGTGACTGGAGCTGTAGTTGTAGTGGCAGGAGCTGTAGTAGTTGCGGCTGGTGCAGTTGTAGTTGCTGCTGGAGCTGTAGTGGTGGCTGGAGCTGTTGTAGTGGTGGCTGGTGCTGTAGTGGTGGCTGGTGCTGTAGTGGTGGCCTGTGCTGTAGTGGTGGCTGGAACTGTAGTGGTGGCTGTAGCTGTAGTGGTGGCAGGGGCTGTAGTAGTTGCTGGTGCAGTAGTAGTTGCTGGAGCTGTTGTAGTTGCTGCTGGAGCTGTTGTGCTGGCTGGAGCTGTAGTGGTGGCCGGTGCTGTAGTTGCTGGAGTAGTTGTAGTTGCTGGAGCAGTTGTAGTGGCTGGTGCTGTAGTGGTGGCCGGTGCTGTAGTTGCTGGAGCAGTTGTAGTTGCTGGAGCAGTTGTAGTGGCTGGAGCTGTAGTGGTGGCTGGTGCTGTAGTGGTGGCCGGTGCTGTAGTGGTGGCCGGTGCTGTAGTGGCTGGAGCTGTAGTGGTGGCTGGAGCTGCAGTGGTATCTATAAACATGCAAAATATGATTTGTTAATAATGAAGTTCAGATTGTGGAGTAGTAGCATATTAGATGGAAACATAAGGAAGAAGTTAATAAAGACAGAGACCTTGGAAAGAGGGGAGTTTTTCAGGGTATATTTTACTACTAAAAAGTCTGCAGTAAAAAACAAAAGGATATGAAGAAGCTCTGAAGTAGAGTATACCAATGAAGTATACCATTGTTTAGTCTGCAGTGAAAATGTATGGAATGTTGTGCTTTCCTACTGCAATGAATTGCCACAAACCAACTTTCAATATAATGTTTAACTCCACAGTTGGAAAATATGATATCTTATATGATGATTGTTCTTTTCATGTTACTATTTGCACAGGCGTTCTCGATATTATGTAAGTGTATATATTTATGTCCTCATTATTAAATTGATTTGTTTCCTTTTTTGTGTATGAATTAATGCTGGGAGGCGGTTATTGTTAAATATTCTTTCTAGATACCTGTGAGTCTGGAACTACAGCATATACAGGATGGGCCAGAATTCAGTAGAATTTGACAGGTAAATAACTTTTTTGTTAGTAGTTAAAACATTTTATGCAGTTACATGTTATAATTGAGTCTTGGGAGATTCATCATGGGTTATCTCATGAAGGAACAACTAGTAAGAATTTTGTTTTCAAAACCGAGACAACTGTTCCCCGAGCGAATAGTTTCAAGAAATTCCCAGATGAATTGGTGGTCACATTCGCCCGACCTTTCAGCTCCTGATTACTTCCTGTAGGGATATCTGATGAGAATGTGTACCTGAACAAACCGGATACACTTGAGCAGTTCAAAGAAAATATATCTGTGCAGAAATTCAATTGCTAGAACCTCAATCTTTAAAGCAATCGGCAGAGGTTAACTTTGCAAGGTGACGAATGGAGCTGATTCATTGATGTTATCTTCCATTCTTAGTCAAACAAATCTCCATATGCTAAGCATTCATTGTATGTAATATCGCTGAAATTGGTTTAATAATAAAACAAGTTATTGACACCTCCATCCCTACTCTGAATTTTGGCCCACCCTGTAGTACTGTGCACATTATAAACTGCATTATGTCCTGCTTGTTGTATGCTTTTTCTATTCCCTCTGTTTTTCATAGGCAGGGATTGTACTGCTCAGGCATGACACTTGGAGCTAAGAGTAGCTCTTGATATTGTGAGTGATACAGTCTGCATATATATATATATATACATCTTTCATGCCTCATAGTTACACTGTGCTTGTTTGTTTGTTTTTCCTTCATGCATCATGTCTTCCAATTGAATGCAATCATGATTGAGAGTCATTTGTACTCCTGAAGAGTAGGAAATATTATTTTGTGAACTTTTAAAGTGGAACGGTCATTATAA